TCGTGAGAGCAAGACACGATGGTTTACGATAATTTACCAACCACAAAGACAATATAAGTAGCCGGCTGCATTCATATCTACTCCTTTTTCGTGTATAGGTAGGGTATTGAGACTACTAGTAATACAGTTATATGAGATGTATTCATCCTATTTCGTTTAAGGTAATGAAGGACTGGTAGTTTAATTTTCCCACAATGATATGAATAGAGCTGACGTTTTCATTAAATGTTGCATAGCCTGCAGTCACAGTTCCAAGGCTACCCTCCTTCGACTTCCGATGAGACCAACTTACGAATCCTTACCACTCGTCTCTTTAAACGAAATGAATGGTATTCCAACCTTGATGTAGATAAAGGCTGGCTAGGTTTGACATCCATGTCTGCCCTGTGACCCATTGTCCCTCATGGCAGTGTAGCGAGTGCTAAATCTCAAAATATTTTATTGCTTAATTCGTTTTCGATTCCTGTTCGAGTATTTAAGGCCAGGCGATAGGCTGTTGCCTTTTGCTAAGAATTGCATGGCTCACTGACGATGCCAGCGAAATATCATACAATGTAGCACATTTACTGTCGGAAGCTGGAAATTTTCATGACTACTGTGACAGGGCAATCCGGGCAGGATGTGTTTATCGAGGTCTTCCTGTAACACTTCTATTATAAAGATAATTTAATGAGAGCACCGCCATTTTAGAAAATTTTATGGTCAACATGCATCATAAGCTGCAAATTTAAAGAAACAATGAAGTGATTCTTCCATTGATCGAAAGAATTATTATTATTTCCGAACCCGATTTTGATTGCTTTTACTTATCTAAACTTTTATTCATTTGACTAGCTTATTTCATATTTCTTATTCTAGAATCAGTGTCTATAGATATTTTTATCTTTTATTAATCCATCCATCTGCCATTGGCTTCTCCCTATCAATCTACCACTTCCCTATTTGCGGATTATGACAGGTCTTTCCTTCTCGCATGACATGTTCGCCTGTCTTGATGGCCAAAATATGCCTAGTCTTCTACTTGGGCTTTCAGGGGGATCTGCTGACATTGGACCATCTAACCAAGCCAGTTGGCTAACAGGCTTATCAGGTTCCACGGCAGCCTCTGTTTGGGGTGCTGGTGGTGGGTTCTCCGGCTTAATCGGCACTGGAACTCCGCAACTCGTTGCCGCAGCTGGGTCTTGTCTCCATTGGCAGACACGATGTGCTCTTAATGCCTCCAAAAATTTTGCCATCTCTGAATTAAATTTAAAATCGGCTGAAATAAGTCATTCAGAACCTCCTATCACTGACAGCCGCGTTGATTTTGCAGATGGCCCGGGGATAGGCTGCTTTTACCTATTCAAGACCTGCGTAGATGCTCTCCTGGAATTACCTGTCACCTCATCTGTTACGCCCGAAACCAGAAACATGCTGGTGAGGAGGCACACGATAGTTTTATTATAATAATTTTATAATAAGGGTGTTATATGATCACACTTGGTGAACAAATGTTCCGAAACTCTATTAAAACGAAAAAGAGGGTTGCTAACTTGCGACAGCTACCGAGTTGCATCTCTACTCACGGCAACTATTTAGGTATTCCCAAGGGTCCTCTGAGCACAATCAAACCTCATTTTGACTCTGATGTCTTCTATTCTTAATTTTGATTTTAACCAGATTTAGATCACAAAGTTGATAAAACTAGGTCAAACCAACATTACAACATACCTACGGCATACGTTAATCCAACAAGGCTGCACCCGTGAGGCCTATCCTGAGATGAATTGATTCCCAATCCACTCATGCCATATACCTTTCTGAAGCACTTTCGAAAATCCTCCCCATAAAGAAAGAGCAAATCCTGCTACTTTCCAAGATGCATCAGAACTTTCAAGTCATTTATTGGCATGGCCACGCACACGCTATTCGTATGCCAAACGTCAACTCCGAAAACTTTAGAAACTTGTCCCGTCTATCGAGTTGAAATGCGTGTCTCTTGCATTTTCTATTTTAACAACTCTTTTTTATTTTAATCTAACAAGAAGGTTCAGCATTTTATTTTATCAGTTCACCACGCAAAAACTGTGCTTAGTCGAATGCACAACTAGTAGCTGGCATATGTGCCGACTATCTCGAGCCAATGATTTTTGTTATTAGGCAGCTGAGTGCATTCATTGTCTCACTTTTACTCGATTTCAATAGTCTTCGATATTTCCAGTGGATATTGAATAAGATTTGTAGTTTCCCTAGGTCGTGTAATGCGATGAAGGGCTGATAATTGAATTTTCTCAGAATGATATGTATAGGCTTCACGTTTCCATTGAATTTCGCATAGCCTTGAGTTCCACAAGCTATTCTCATTCAGACTGAACTGCAGCTTCAAACTTACTGGGGGTCTCATTTGCGCCCCAATGGGGCACTGTAGCAACATACATGCTATATTTACCCTGATATTAGATCAGCTATATTGGTAGTCTAGACTACCTACTTATAAACAGTGGAAATAAGTAATGTAGTCGATGACTGTAGCAGATACAACTTTGCTTCGTCGATAATCCCACAACAGAAATGTAGTATGAGAAAGATCTAGACTTCATACCCTCCTGTGACCAAAGGACACTCGTGTCAGTGTGGCGTAGTGGTTAATGTTGTCAGACTATACACTGCACTACTCTGGTTAGAGTCCCGCTGGGAGTGCTGAGGCCGAAACTTCAGTCCATCTTTTGGGAAGCAAGGCTCTGTAAAATCCAATGGGAATATGAGGCATGCTCATATCATTGTGGGAGGAGTCAACTAATGGCACTTCATCGTATTAAACAAAATATAGTTAATACAGCTCTTTAATCAAGATTATTGGTAGTTTCGGTAACTTACTTATCAAACCCAAAAACATGCTACTACTATGCCTACAGATAGGAGTTCCAGTGGGTTACAGCGAAAGGTACAAAATTCAATTTCCGCCGGGTGTAGTGATGATGAGTCTGAAACAGCCGCCAGCCCTGGGTCTAATTAGCTTTTTTGTGTAAGGACTATGTGAAATCCAATGACATCGTGAGGCCAACTCATAGAATGGGAAGAATCATCAACCAGTAGTCAATCACCTTACGCAATCTAGGATGATCACAGTTCGTATCCAATTTTAAATATTCTCTTGAATTTAAGTCTAGGAACTCATAGGTTTCACGCTACTTGTCCGCCGTTTCACGAACCCATATTTTCACTAGGTATATATTTCCTGTATAGCTACTTCATATGTACAATCTACCTGACATAATAATAAAAAGTAAATTAACTCGGTATTTCA